TTCTTTCACCTCACGTGCGTAGACCTGGCAGAGCTTCTTGCACGAGTAGTAGTCGTGGCCAGTTTTTTGACATTTGATAAGGTGCTCGTGCAGCACGAACACGTGTTTAGCCGGTTCACCATTCATGTCCACACCCTACACCTTTACCTCCCGATGTTGCGGATCTGCCTGCTTCTTTAGGAACTTGTTCAGCAAGGGTGATTGTCCGCTGCCAATTGAATCCTCGTAGTCTAGATAGTGGACTTCGATTGTGGGATACGCAAGGAAAACTTCACTTGCGACGACTGTAATGTCCACTTGCCAGGTTTAGAGACACAAGACAATGTTAGTCGTTGGGTTTTTTAGTGACTTAACATCTACCGCCTGCAAAATGAAAACATTACTTGAAGCTTCTGGAACTTGGCATTCAACTCGTTCAGGATCGCTAGCAAATCTGCAAGGAAGTAGACGAGAAAGTGAAATTTGAAATACATGCAGGTCTCGTACATCTTTTTATCCTTCTCGTGCAGCAAGAATACCGTCGCCGGAAGCACCTTCGCAAAACTCTTCACCGCCTCTCCCCGTGATAGCCAACGCACGTCATGAATGCCCTGCAGCTCGAGGTTCGTCTCGCAGACAACTTCTTGAAGTTGGCGGAAACGCCTATGGTGATTGGAGCTTTGCGACAGCATCGTCGCCACCGCCCGAACTCCCTTGTCAACGATTTCCAAGTCCGTCAGCTTGGTCGCAGCATCTTTGGCAGCGAGCGCCTCTCTGTGAAAGGAAAGCATTCATGTTAGCCAGGTCGGTAGTAAGGGAGTTCATTGATGCATTAAACTTTTCACATGACATTCATTTTACATCCGCATTTTCCTACTGATGGGCAATGCAGTGACATGAGACGAGCTAGAGGTTCTTCGCGCGGAGACGAGGTAGAGGTTCTTCGCGCGGAGATGAGCCACAAGGCCAGCATGCTCCCCGGTCATGACCGAACCACCGTCAGTGCTTATCCCGACGATTTTCGAGAAGTCGAGGCCGATCGCATGCAGATGCGTAAGCAGCACGTCTTGGAGACTTGCAGCATCTGCCTTGTCGATCGTCAGCAGGGAGAGAAACTCCGTCACGACCTCCTCGCATTTCAAGTACGTGACGTACACGATAAGGTGCTTCTCGCACACCCTATCGGTACTCTCATCCAGAGCGATCCCGATGTAGGGACTCTGTCTGATGTGCTGCAGTTGCTCTTCACATAAATACTTGGACGCGGCTTCGACCAACTCGGAGAAGCCATACCTGCATGTATACGGTGCATATGTCAGAACGCACACGAGTGTCAGGAAAACATAACCGTGTCAAAACATGACTTCGAGATTCTCACTCTGAGTAGTAGCTTCCGCGCTGATCAATCGAGAGGTTCGGGCAACCCATCTCCAGCATAAACTTGATAAACCCGATGTAGGAAGAGATTGGTGCCTCGGAATGGCACGTGAAAACCGCCGTTTTTAACGCCGCGATAAGGTGAAGTGTCTTCTTGTCGACTCCCTCGTACTCGTCCAGCATCGCTTGGCGCAAATTCTGGCTCTCCGTCGCCTTCTTGGCCCCATGCGCGTTAAGATGTGTTGTAGACCGTTGATGAGTTCAAATTCTCTGCTTCTGCATGTCGCGTCCACCAGCACCGCCCTTGCCGTATGCCGTATTTGCATTCTCGATGCCAAACTCCATGCAAGTGCTGCATTTTAAAATAGGAAACCCATCGTCAGCGCGAGACAACATAAGCCACGGGAATAATCGTTGCCCGGGGTTTGTGAAGCGACGGTGTGCCTTGGTAAATGCGAGTTAAGGATCTTTTTCTGAGGTCGTGAGATCTTCCTCCTCTTCGTTGTCTCCGTCGATGTCACCCACCTCGTCGCCTAGACTGGGCTCCCGTGTAAATCTGAGCTTCCGCTGACGCCATTTCTGCAGCACGGTACTGACGCCTGGTTTGCGCTTTGTGCCACTCGACTCCCGTCCAGGCTCCGTGAGTTCTTGGGATGGGCCGGCAATGGCAGGTTATGGGGTCGTTGCATTGGAACCAGTAGTGGGTAGGGAGGGCGGATCTGTCCGCGTCTGGACAAACTCGGTAACGGGAACCGCAAAAGGCCTCAAAAAGCTGAGACCTGTTCTCGGGGGAGAGTCGGAACGAGGCTTGCCGACCTCGTTGTCGTCGTGACAAAGAACGTCAATAGCCATGGACAAGAAAATGGGATGTGGCTAGCTAGCTAGACACTCAGACAGGAGCTGCGTGGTGGTGAGACAGTGGCTGAGCTTGTAGAAAAGACCATGCTTGTCTGCAAAGCGTTGCTGTGAGAGCTTCCCGTCCCGGTGGGGTGTCCAGGGAGGGTGTGTGATGGTAGTGGGAATCTGGAAGGTTCGGTGTGGAGGGGATTGCGTGCGCACGCCGCGCTGTGCTGTGCTATGCAGAAGGCGGGACGTGATGATGTCCTGCCACTCTGCACGGGTGCGCCGTGTCCTGGCGGTCCGGGCCGTCAAGGCGACCCGCACAGTCGTGATTGTGAAAGTTAGCCACTAATTGCGGCAAGATTTTCGCCGACTGTTGATGTGCTGGAACCCCCCCCCCCCCCCCGAAATTCGTCAGCGTCAAATTCGTTTCGAGTCTTTCACACCAGTCTAGTTACACAAGCCACTCTGAAATATCAGCCTATTGTGAAACATAGCTTTTTCAAAAAAGGGTCCAGCCACAAACAACTCTGAAAAAAAAGGCCAAGACAACCCAGACTTATAGTAAGGGTTGTAAGGGTGATTCACCCTGCTAACCAGAGCCCTGGTACCCGTACCACATGCATTTTGCCTGCCTGGCGGTGACACACAGCGCCACACAAGTGTGCATCGTCCAAGAGAGTCCTGCTTGGTCCCTTTCTCCCTCCCCACCAGACCCCCACCCACCGACCAGCCGCTCTCGCCCAACCCCAACCCAGTCAGTTCATTTCATTCATCCAGTTTTCCTCCTCGTGGCAAGAAGCGCCGCCCTGCTCAAGAGTTCCTATACCGTATTATCTTGTGCTCACTGCTAAGCTTATTCTGTTAGAACCAGGCACTGATGCTTTAGTTGCTCTGTTAGTTAATGCCATCTTTAATATGTAATCCACGCTTAAGTCTAAACATGAAAGGGTGAAAACAATGTGCACACTGATGAGCAAGAGTACCTTTCCAACTGACACTGAGAAAAAAGACTGACATGGCTGACCCACCCTTACTGAAAGACCAACTTCAGCGAACTGGCCTTGCGAGTGAGAGTGCCCCAAATCCTATCCAGAGGCCTGAAGGGCGCCCTAAAATACAACTCTGTAAAATCAGGGTGAACACTTAAACCCACCCTTATAATAAGGGCCATAAGGGTGATTTACCGTGATATCAAGAGGCCTGGTCTGTGCATGCATGGGAGCAGCAAGCAGCAGAGGCGATCAAACAGGAGTACCGCTTCAAACGCCCTGAGCTGCTCAAACCTCTAGTGGAGCCGGCTTTAGCGAAGCTTGTATCATGATGACGTGTCATGCCATAGGAGAGAATGGTGCTGGAAGCTGCTAGTGTCTGTGGTGGTGCCTCAATCAAGACACAGCAGGGTGCTAGGTGCTAGACGCATGAACTGCTAGGTGCTGCTGCAACTCATTCAACCTGGTGACTGTGAAAACGTTGCCTTTGGCAACTTGTATGAGCAGTGCGCTTAATTTCAGTGGGTTTGCGTACATTAATCTTGTCCAACAGCAATTTCAGCTAAACTAGAGAAAAAAAACTGAATGGATAGGTGAAAAGGGGTGTGAAATGGAAACTCTTGAAATTTATGAAAGACTGGGTCAGGCCCACAGGCTTGATTGAATCCAATAAGACAAAACTTAGCTGATTCACTGTACCCTCTTTAATTAACTTAGAATAATACACCCAAAGTTCACTACGAGGCTGGATCTCGAGCCGAGTTTCTTGACCTCGCGCGCTGCCCCTCGCCAACATTATTTGAGCCCAAACCTGCTTTGTGTTTGCCTTACACACCTCCCGAACCGAAACCGCAGCTGCTCCGAACCACAACCAATTATCTGTTCGTAAGCTTCGGCAGAGCCTAGGCACTTAGATTTGGGAACCAAACTGGGTCAAACGGTCGGCCATAATTGTACGCAGCACGGTTCCAAAGCAATGCGCCGCATTACACAGCGTAGCACCGCATATCACCGCCTGGCGTCGCACAAAACAAGCCGACCGAGCATCAAGCCTGAAGTCATCACACTCACCGCAGCGCAGTCCACGGGTGTTAGCGGACGCGTCACAGCATTGCATCATCGAGCAATGGCGCACCTTGGGCTGCATCTGTGCCGCGTTATGGACCCTTCACTTCGTGCCAGGAGGCACGACGCAGCACTAGGGTTGTTTCTCGTAATATACTTGCATGCAATCCGGGACGTCAGATCGCCGTTATTGGTACTAAACCCGCAGGGCGAGCTCTGGATCAGATTCGATATAGTCACGGGAAGTGGTAGGAAGGAGAGCGGGTGCTACAGTGCCTCACCTGCCCTCGGTTTAGCGCTAGTACCTCGTTCGTATGGAATTTAGAAATGCGATTTACCGTCGCAGTGACCTACGTCGGCGGGAGCCGTCGCCGAATCACACGCGCGCGCGCCGCCGCCGCGCAACCTGCGCTCTGTGGCCGACAGCTCACGTCGAGGAACTTGCACAGGGCGCGTCGTGGCAGCACCTCCCCGTCGTCATCCGCAGCACCCCTTCGCTCCAATCGCGCCGCGAGCGCCTCAAGCTCCTCGCGCGCCTTGCGCTCGTCGCGCTTCTTGCGCTGCCGCTGTGCCCACATTGCCGCGGCTCCCCAGCGCCGCCAGGAGCGCCCCCCCCGGCGGCGCCGCCAGCGGTAGTAGTGGCGCCACCGCCAGTCACCCCCGACACTCGAGGTACTGCTGGGAGAGGAGGGGGGGTATAGGGGGGAAATGTGGTGGTTTGGCTGCAGTGCCTGGCAGTTGCGGCAGTCAACGACCATCGAAGGTGTGGACGGAGGAAGTTGGGCGGCAGTGGGCGGCAGTGGGCAACAGTAGACGGCGGCGGGTGGCAGTGAGCAAGTCAGGGAATGGGAGGGAGTGGCTGAATGGTAGGGAGGGTTTGGGAGGGAGGGAATGGGAGGGAGGGAATGGGAGGGAAAGGGAGGGAGGGAATGGGAGGAAGGGAATAGGAGGGAGGGAATGGGAGGGAAAGGGAGGGAGGGAATGGGAGGAAGGGAATGGGAGGGGAGAATGAGAGGGAGGGAATGGGGGGAGGGAGGGAATTGGAGGGAGGGAATGGGAGGGAGGGAATGGGAGGAAGGGAATGGGAGGGAGGGAATGTGAGGGAGGGAATGTGAGGGAGGGAATGGGAGGAAGGGAATGGGAGGGAGGGAATGTGAGGGAGGGAATGTGAGGGAGGGAATGGGAGGGAGGGAATGGGAGGAAGGGAATGGGAGGGAGGAAACGGGAGGGAGGGAAAGCGATATTGGGATGGGGGGCGTCAGTTATCAGCGTGTGTGGCTTCACCCGTCTTGCACAAGGACCGAGTGCTGCCCTGCAATCCCCTCCGCCCTGCCATCCCCTCCGCCCTGCAATCCCCTCCGCCCTGCAATCCCCTCCGCCCTTCAACCCCCTTGCACTTGATGCCCGCAGTTCCCCCCCCTCTCTCCGCACCCTCCCCCTCCCCCCCTCCCCCCCCCCCCACCCCCTCTCCCCTCCCGCTCTTTTTCTTCCCCCTTCCGCCCCCCACCCTGTGCTGGCGCGCCTGGTGCAGGGCTGGCAGCTTATGAGGCATGGGCATGGGCACTGTCATACCCCTCCCCCCCCCACCCCCTCCTCCTCCCTCCCCCGCTCGTCCCCTTCCGCCCCCTACCCTGTGCTGGCGCGCCTGGTGGTTGCAGGGCTGGCAGCTCGCGAGGGATGGGTTCTGCCATATCCCTCCTCCTCCCTCCCCCGCCCGTCCCCCTCCGCCCCCCACGCAGCGCTAGCAGGCCTGGTGCATTTCTGGCATATTGGGGGGGGTGACTTCACGCGGTGGACGAACGTGAGCGACGTGTGCACGCTCAACGACCCGCGCATCACATGCAACAACACGGCTGTTGTCGCCCTGTGCGTGCATGCCCTGCCCTGCCCTGCCCCGCCCTGCCCTGCCCTGCCCTGCCCTGCCCTGCCCTGCCCCGCCCTGCCCTGCCCTGCCCTGCCCTGCCCTGCCCTGCCCTGCCCTGCCCTGCCCTGCCCCGCCCTGCCCTGCCCTGCCCTGCCCTGCCCTGCCCTGCCCTGCCCTGCCCTGCCTTGCCCTGCCCTGCCCTGCCCCGCCCTGCCCTGCCCTGCCCTGCCCTGCCCTGCCCTGCCCTGCCCTGCCCTGCCCTGCCTTGCCCTGCCCTGCCCTGCCCCGCCCTGCCCTGCCCTGCCCTGCCCTGCCCTGCCCTGCCCTGCCCTGCCCCGCCCTGCCCCGCCCTGCCCTGCTGTAATGCCTGTGGGCTGTGTTAATGGGCATTATGCTGTGCCAAATAACTTCCTCTTTTCAATTTGACCCAGTGTGTAGCGAGATCAGAGCCTAGTGTTCAAATCCCTGCTGGTCCACATTTTCCGCCCGTGGCGAGAATTGAAATGTGGTTCCCAGACATGAACCCAGGAAACGATCCTCTGCTGTCCTGACCTGAGCAACCAGCGAAGTCGCAGCTAGCAGCACTGCTAACTCTAGGTCCCTGCAGGAGGGGCCGACTCCCTGAAGTAGAGAGCCAACGGGGACTAAGGCGCCAGGGGGGGACGAGTGTAACGCCTGTGGGCTGTGTTCATGCGACACTCACTTTCATGCGACACTCACTTTCATGCGACACTCACTTTCATGCGACACTCACTTTCATGCGACACTCACTTTCATGCGACCCTCACTCTCATACGACACCACAGAGAGTGAGCATATTCACAGAACTGTACCCCCTGTGCTGCCACCCCTTGTGCTGCCACCCCTTGTGCTCCCAGGAGGCTGTCGCAGGCCAACATTCTGGGCGAGATGCCAGATGTCATCGGCAATCTCACCTCCCTCACCGCTCTGTACGCCTCTACACCGCACGCCCCCTGGGACTCTCATTCCTCCCTCCTTTGCATGCCTCCATGCCGTTCCTTTTATGTCCTCCACTCTCTTACTCTCCGCACCCCCATCGTTCTCCACACCCCCCTCAATTTCTGCACTTTATACTCCCTTGCTGACCTGCACTTGTCTTACACATGTACCGCTTTCCCCTCCGCCCATGCACCGTCCCCTCAACCCATGCACCGTCCCCTCCGCCCATGCACCGTCCCCTCCACCCATGCACCGTCCCCTCACCATTCTCGTCAGAGCCACCTTGAAACACCAAGCTCCCTCACTCCGCCCTCTCTCGCCCTCCTCCGCCCTCCTCCGCCCTCATCCACTCCACCCCCCCCCCCCCCTCCCCCCTTTCCTCCCAGCTATCTGGACAGCAACCGGTTTTACGGCTCTCTGCCTGCGTCCCTCAGCCGCCTCACCAATCTCCAACACCTGTGAGGCCCACTTGGCCCTCGAAACACCCGCAAGCACGGATGCGCGTGTGACTCCCACGTGCGCACTACACTGCAGTAGAGTGCACTTTACTCCCACGCACGTGCACACTACAATTAAGTCACACTTGGCCGCAGAGTGAGTAAGCACAACCAACCGTACCATATAACCATGTACCCCTTGTGTTGCTTGTGCCGCTTGTGCCAATTTTGCTGCTTGTGTTGCTTGTGCCGCTTGTGCTGCCTTTGTTGCTTGTGCTGCTGTGCTGCGTGTGCTGCGTGTGCTGCGTGTGCTGCGTGTGCTGCGTGTGCTGCCAGGGATCTCTCACAGTGCGAGCTCACAATGGTGCTGCCAGATGTCATCGGCAATCTCACCGCCCTCGTCTCCCTGTATGCCGTCACTCCTTTCATTCTCCACACTCCCTGCATTCTCCACACTCCCTGCATTCTCCACACTCCCTGCATTCTCCACACTCCCTGCATTCTCCACACTCCCTGCATTCTCCACACTCCCTGCATTCTCCACACTCCCTGCATTCTCCACTCCTTCATTCTTCACTCCTTTCATTCTCCACACTCCTTTCATTCTCCACACTCCTTTCATTCTCCACACTCCTTTCATTCTCCACACTCCCTTTTTTTTCTCCACACTCCCTTCATTCCCTACACTCACTTCATTCTCCACACCCCTTTCATTCTCCACACTCCCTTAATTCTCCACACTTCCTTTGATCTTCACACTCCCATTAATCCTCACACTCCCTTCATTTCCCTCACTCCCTTCACACTCCACATTTCCTTCATTCTCCACACTCCTTTCAATCTTCACACACCCCCTTCGTTTCCCACACTCCCTTCACACACTCTACATTCTCCACATTTCCTTAGTTCTTCAAGCTCCCTTCATTCTCCACACTCCCTTCATTCACCTCCTCCCTCCTCCGCCCTGCTCCTCGCTGCCAGAGAGCTGGACATGAACAACTTCCAAGGCCCTCTGCCTGACTCTCTCAGCCGCCTCACCAACCTCCAAACCCTGTGAGCGGCTCACATGGGCAACGAGCGAACCCAACACGCTTGAATCGAACATTTTTCAAACACTTGGTCAAGTCGAACCGAACCGAACACGTTCGACTCGAACAGTTTTCCTAAATGGTAGTGTCTCTGTTCGAGTATAGGGTCGAACAGTTGTGAGGCAAGGTCAAACAGTTGTGAGGCAAGGTCGAACAGTTGTGAGGCAAGGTCGAATAGTTGTGAGGCAAGGTCGAACAGTTGTGAGGCAAGATCGAACACTAACGTGTTTGACCTGAACTCGAACAGTTTGCTTTTGGGGATACTTTCAGTATAGTCACATTCAGGGTACGTACAAATCCGGGCGCATGTATTACAAGCAATATCACAATGTCATGAAAGATAAGAGCGAAGATCAACAATGCTGCGCACTCAAGCCCTCACTGTGAGCCTCCCTTGCCCTTCCTGTGAGCCTCACTTGATCTTCCTGTGATCCCCACTTGCCCTTTCTGTGATCCCTGCTTGCGAAATCACACTCCTGTATGCATTTACGGCGACTGCTCTTGCCTTTTACCCACCCCTGAATCCTGTGAGCTTGTGAACATGCGCTCTGCTTTATTTAAACCACACCCTGTACTGTAAGAAACTGTGTAAGGGAATCTACATTGGCTTCTATATAGATTCCCTTACACAGCCTCTTACAGTACAGGATGCGATTTACATACCACCTGCCTGCTACAGTACAGGGTGTGGTTTATTCAAAGCAGAGCACATGTTCAGCAGCTGACAGGATTCAGGAGTTTATTCTCCCACCAGCCTGCCTCACTGTGCTCCTTGGTTTCTCTAATCATGCCACCACCATTCACTCCCTTCACCATCTTGCCATCTCCTCTTCAGCGATTTCGCACATAAAATGAAGGAAAAGGAAGCCACGTGGTGGAAAGTGAAGCATGAGTATAGGAGTATGAGGAGGAAGCAGCCGAGGAGGGATGGGAATTTTTTCACATGCATGTTGATATTCTCGTCTCTGCGTTCATGCATGGATGTGTCTACGCGTGTTTGGAGAGGTGGGGATGTTTCGTGTGTGTGTGTGTGTGTGTGCGTGTGTGTGTGTGTGTGCGCGCGTGTGTGCATGGGTGTGTGCGTGTGTGCATGTGCATGTGTGTGTGTGTGTATGTGTGTGTGTGTATGTGTGTGTGTGTGCATCTGTGTGTGCTTGGGTGCATGTGTGCATGCGTGCATGCATGTGTACCACAAATCAACAGCCGATTAGGTAACAACAGATTCTCTGGTTCCCTTCCGTCCAGTCTGACAGCTCTCACAGCACTCAAACAGTTGTAAGTCTTTCTAGAAACTGTTTGTCTGCCCCTTTTTGGCCCCGAGACACCATCATACTCCTTTAGTCACCACCTGCCATGCCATGTGTTCCGCATACATGAGTCAAGCAAATGCCCACGTGTGTGTATTACGGAAGAGCCTTCCCTTGCCGTCAAAGAGGCATTGTTAGAGCTTTGCTCCTGGTATAAGTTGCTCTTCATTCGAGTCTTGCGCCTGATTTATTTTGAGACGTCTCAAAACACTCCTTCTTTCATGCGCCTGATTTATTTCTCCCCCTCCTGGTTCTTACTTCTGCTCCGCCACATGCCTTGCACGGTCTCCCTGCATTCATGCTTGTCCATCCATCCCACTTCCGAATCCACCGCACTGCACCGCCTCTTTTGCAGATTACTTGCTTTCCACTCTCTTCCTCTTCGCACCCCGTTCCCCCATATATCTCAACCGCCAGATTTGCCCAAAACAACTCCTTCGAAGGCCCTCTGCCGATCTACTTTGGCCGCATGACCCAGCTTCAGGAGCTGTGAGTGCCGCAGCAGCTGTGAGTGCCGCAGCTGTGAGTGCAGCAGCTGTTAGTGCAGCAGCTGTGAGGGCAGCAGCTGTGAGTGCAGCAGCTGTGAGTGCAGCAGCTGTGGGGGCAGAGCTCAAAGTGTGCGTGACTGCCATTGTTTCCCTGGTTTTCACTGCCATTGTTTCCCTGGTTTTCACTGCCATTGTTTCCCTGGTTTTCACTTCCATTGTTTCCCTGGTTTTCACTGCCATTGTTTCCCTGGTTTTCACTGCCATTGTTTCCCTGGTTTTCACTGCCATTGTTTCCCTGGTTTTCACTGCCATTGTTTCCCTGGTTTTCACTGCCATTGTTTCCCTGGTTTTCACTGCCATTGTTTCCCTGGTTTTCACTGCCATTGTTTTTCAAACGAGTAGGCTGTGCCCATCCCTGGACCCTCTCCCCAACGCGATGCCATGCCTTTCTGGGCAGTCATGTCATGTGCCGCTCGTGCCCTGCCACTCGTGCCCTGCCACTCATGCCCTGCCTGCCATTCCTCCTACTCTCACCCACGCACACCTCCTTTACTTCTTTTAATTTGCTCCTACTCTTACCCACCGCATGCCTCCCCCAGGAAGCTCTACTCCAACCCCATCCCTGCCTCTTTCTCTTCACGTCAACCCACTCCCACGGCATGCCTCCCCCAGGAAGCTCTATTCCAACCCCATGGGAGGGTCGCTGCCGGAGTCCTACTCGCAACTCAAGAACCTCACCCACCTGTACGCCTCCTCACCCACCTGTACACCTCCTCACCCACCTGTACGCATCCTCACCCACCTGTACACCTCCTCACCCACCTGTACGCCTCCTCACCCACCTTTACACCTCCTCACCCACCTGTACGCCCCCTCACCCACCTGTACGCCTCCTCACCCACCTTTACACCTCCTCACCCACCTGTACGCCTCCTCACCCACCTGTATGCCTCCTCACCCACCTGTATGCCTCCTCACCCACCTGTACGCCTCCTCACCCACCTGTACGCCTCCTCACCCACCTGTATTCACTCATCACATGCTCTTTTGAAGCCTTATCTGCTTCTTTCAACCGCCATTTAAGCCTCCCATCCCATGCCTCCCATGCCTCGCATGCCTCCCATGCCTCCCATGCCTCCCATGCCTCCCATGCCTCCCATGCCTCCCATGCCTCCCATGCCTCCCATGCCTCGCATGCCTCCCATGCCTCCCATGCCTCCCATGCCTCCCAAACCTCACACGGCTCCCATGCCTCATGTCTCCCCCACACGCCTCCTCACCTCTCCCCATCGATCCCCCCTCCTTCTCGCCCTCTCATCCTCTCACCTGCCCCAAATTCAGGCATCTGGAGGACATGGGTCTGTCAGGCCCCATTCCTGACTCATGGGGCAACATGGAAAATCTGCAGTACTTGTGAGTGTGTGCAGTACTTGTGAGTGTGTGCAGTACTTGTGAGTGTGTGCAGTACTTGTGAGTGTGTGCAGTGCTTGTTGTGAGTCTGCAGTGCATGTGAGTGTGTGGCAGCGCAACCCATCTGTGTTACTTTGTTCCTCCATGTTAAACGCACACTTCTGCCTGCTACGCGCATCCTCTTGTTTCATAGCCCACTTCACTTACTCCATTCGGTGCACTGTTGACTTTTGAGTCGACTCAAAAGTCAACTTACTCCATTCGGTGCACTGTTTCATGCCAAGGACTTCAATTCTATTCACTCATCTTCTCCCCACCCTCGTTCCTCTCTCTTACCCGTTCCTGCTCATACACACTGTCTCCTCCACCTTACCAGCCGTTTGAGTCGCAACGATATCTCAGGGATCCTCCCCACCCTCGTTCGTCCCTCTCTTTTCTTACCCATTCCTGCACAGCACATACACTGTCTCTCCCGCCTCCCCCCCCTGCCAGCCATTTGAGTCGCAACGATATTTCAGGGGTCCTCCCCACCTCGATGAATCAGCTCACCAACCTCATTGAATTGTAACCGTTTCATCTAGCCAACCTCATTGAACTGTAACCGTTTCATCTGACCTACCTCATTGTGAACTTTATTCGTATCTTTTAACCAACTGTAACCATCTCACCAACTGTAATGTAACCATGTCGCCACGCTTGTTCAACATCGTTATACCTCCTCTTGTTCATCCCCTTGCATCATTCGGGTTACTGATGCTTCACGAGCTCTGACCCCCAATGCTCTGACCCCCAATGTTTATTGTCTGCTTCTCTACTTACACATTCTGCACTTTCTCCTGCCTCTCCATCTCCCCCTCTACCCCTCTCCTGGTCTCTGCCCTGCCGTCCCCACTCCGTATTTCCCCCTCTATGTCGCGTTTCTCTCTTCCCTGTCGCTCTCTCTGCCTGCAGTCTTCTCCTTCCCTTCATCCACCGTCTGCCTGCCTGCCCACCCGCCCGCCCGCCTGCTTGCCTGCCTGCCTGCCTGCTTGCCTGCCGTGCTGGCCTGCTGGCCTGCATGCCTGCTCTCTCTCCTGCCCCCACCACCAGCTCCATCTATCGCAATCCGCTGCTGGAGGGCAAGCTGCCGCCCTGCTGGGCCACCGTCCAGTCCCTCGGCACTCTGTACGCCCCTTCCCCTCAGCACACCTTTCCGCTACTCTCTTGCCCTTCCCCTGCTGCCCTGCTGGCCCACCACACAGTCCCACGGCACTCTGCATTAGGCATGGGCATTTGACCTGGACCCGACCCGACCCGGCCGGGTCGGGTCTGGTGTTCTGAGTATCCCGACCCGGGCGGGTCGGGTCGGGCCTACCCGTACGGGTCGGGTTGACCCGTGACCCGTCAGGGTATCTTTTTCACGGGTACCCTTGACCCGTCGGGTCGGGTCGACCCGTGACCCGAAATCGGGTTAAGATACGGAAATCGTAGGATAGACTGCAATAGCGGTGTGCGAATGGCTCTGCATCGGGCTGGCAAACAAGACGCATGATAGCTATAGTGTAGCAGGAGGCGTAGGAGAGATCGTGGATAGGGAAACCTAGGTCGAAGTTGAAATTTGTACTCCACAGTTGCCAAATTTGTGCTTAATACTGTCTCCAACCAATTTCCCCTCCCATCACCTCTCTTAACCGCATTGCATCTAGATCATCCAACCAATTTGAGATTTGAAAGCTGGACACTCGTCACTTCCAGATCTACAACAAAGTTCATCCGCCCTTAGATCCACGATTCCGCGCGTAGGGGGGGGAGGAATTCCAATCCGTGCGGATCTGTGGGGAGAATCGCCGATCCGCGCGGTTCGTCGGGGGAAATCGTCGATCAGCGCGTATGACGAGTTTTTCTTGGGTATAATTACCCGACCCGACCCGACCCGAGGGTACACTACCCGAGGACGGGTCACAGAGACCCGTGCCCACTATGGCGGGTCGGGTACCCTAAATTTGGCTTATCTTGACCCGCCGACCCGACCCGACCTGACCCGAACCCGTCACGGGTCGGCCTAGACGGGACGGGTCGGGTCAAATGCCCATGTCTACTCTGCATGCCTTACTGCCCTCCCTGCTCCCCTCCCTACCCTCCCCTGCCCTCCCCATGGCCCCCCCCTGCCGTCCCTGACCCCTCCCCTTGTCCTCCCCCTGCCCTCCCCGCAGCCCTCCCCCTATGCGCCTTGCTACCTCACTGGCCACAGCGGTTCGCACTCGCACACACTCTACCTCCCACACCCCACCTCTTTGTCTCCCCAGCCCTGGTTACTGGCTGCCCCCTGCTGCCCATCCCCACTACCCAATTCCACCGCCCCTCAGTGCTGTCCCTCGTGATGGTGCTATAAGCTTGTTCGTCCCCACCTGTTTCAATCCCCACCACCCTCTTGTTGCCCCTGTATCCAGCATGATCACCATCCATCCGACGCCCTCCCCTTCGCCTCCACCCACCCGCAGCAGCTCACTCCTCACAGCAGCTCACTCCTCACAGCAGCTCACTCCTCACAGCAGCTCACTCCTCCTCACAGTGCAACCGTGAGACCAGACCAGCCTCCATCCAACGTTTCCCTCCCCCCCATCCAACGATCCCTCTCTCTTCCTCCAACCCCCCACCCCCCACCTCCTTCCCTCCCCTCCCGCCCCAATCCACTCCTACCAGCTCTCTGCTGGGCACCAGGCTGCGCTGCCCCGACAACCTGCCGACTCCTGCTGCCCCGACAACCTGCCGACTCCTGCTGCCCCGACAACCTGCCGACTCCTGCTGCCCCAATATTCGATACCCATCCACCATTGTTCCCTCCCCCACCCCCCACCTCCTTCCCTCCCCTCCCTCCCCAATCCACCCCCACCAGCTCCCTGCTGGGCACCAAGCTGCGCTGCCCCGCGCGCCCCGCCGACTCCTGCTGCCCGGGGTGCCTTCAGAGCGACCTGCCCTTCTGCTCCCTCCTCTGCCCCGACTTCTGCCAACAATGCAAACCACCCCGTAACCCCCTCTCTTACTGCCAACCACCGTCTGTAACTGCTCCTTACCACATCACCTCCTCCTCGTCACATCACTGCCCCATTCTCCAGGGGACCATCCTGGTTCTGTTCCTGTCTTTGTCTGCTACACATTTTCTCTCCCTTTTTACCCCTTATTTACTCAGCAGCAACAATGCTCACTCGTGTGTTACCCCCCACCACCCCATTTGTGCCATCCACCCTCTTCATCTGCCCTGCACTGCCCGCCCGCCAGTGCTGTCTCCAGCAGGCATAGCAGGCGTGGTGGTGGGGAGCGTGGTGCTGCTGCTGGTGGTGCTGCTCGTAGTGCTCTACGTATGGTACTACTACTGGGGACCTGGCAGCCGCAAGGGTGAGTGGGTGGGGCGAAGGAGAGTGAGGTGCGGTGGTGAGTGTGGTGGTGGGGATGTGCGTGGGGTGGGCTGGGGGTCGCTGCTGGTGGTGGTGCCGCTCGTATCGCTCTACATGTGGTATTCCTACTGGGGACCCGGCAACCGCAAGGGTGATTGGGATGGGGAGGGTGAGTTTAGGGGGAGGCTGAGTGGGGTGATGAGGGTGAGTGAGATGGGGAGTGCGATTGGAGTTAGAGTGTGAATGGGGTGGGGAGGGTAAGTTGGATGAGGTTGTGTGAGTGGGGAAATGTGAATGGAGTGGAGGGAGTGCCACGTATGGTAAATCAACTACAGGCGTGATTCGATGTGCGGAAAGATCCAAAGGGTGCATACCGACAGAAGCACAGACGAGGTTGCTCATCTTCCCTCCCCTCTCTGCTTCCCCGAGCTCTCCTCCTCCTCCCTCCCTCCCACTGTGCTCCCCCGCCCTCTGTGCCCCCCCCTACCCTCTCACCCCCTTCCTCCTCCCCTGCAAGCAGCGTGGGAGAGGGAGCTGCAGCAGGGCTTCAGGAGGTACACGTGGAGGGAAGTTATGGAGGCGACCAACCAGCTGAGCCCCGACAACCTTCTCGGCAAGGGCGGCTTCGGCTCCGTGTACTGGGGCGTCATAGGCGGGTCCCAGCAGAGCGGGTGGAGCACAGGGGTGTGGAAGCGAGCTGAGGCCAGCTGGAAAGCAGCAAGCAGCGGCATGCACAAGGGGAGTGGGATGAGCGGAGGGAGTGGGACGACGAATGGGGGGAGTGGCACAAGTGTAGGGAGTGGGACAAGTAAGGGGAGCGTTACGAGTGCAGGCAGCAGGAACATTGCTTCTGTTGCTCCTGCGGACGGCAGTGCCCCAGGGGTGGGCGGCAGTGCTCCCAAGGTGGGCGGCGGTGTGCGTGTGGTGGTGGGCGGCGGCATGGAGGTGGCGATCAAGCGAGCAGCTGTTGTGGAGCGATCGTCCAACGTCGCCACCATGTTTGAAGAAGAGGTGCGCGGTGCGGTGCGGTGCGGTGTGATCGGGTGTGGTGTGGTGGCATGGAGGGGTTGTGTTCGTGGTACGGTGCAGTGTGATCGGAAGTGGTGTGGTGGTGTGGAGGGGGTGTGTCTGTGGTGCGGTGCGGTGTGATCGAGTGTGGTGTGGTCGTGTGGAGGGAGTGTTTCTGTGGTGCGCTGCGGAGTGATTGGGTGTTGTATGGCCGCGTGGAGGGAGTGTGCGTGTGGTGCAGTGGCAAGGAGGTCTGCTTCTATGTTGGAAAAGTCGTGCCCAGCATATTATACGCAAGCGCACATACGCTTGCGTATAATACGGGATGCGCTGAATGGGTGACTCAAGAATACGTGAAAAATACGCTGCCCGGTCAGGTAAAGCTTTTTTTCCGGTCAGGCGGCACGAGGAACCTCATTAGTTGCACTCGCGGGAGTGCCAGTGCCAGTAGGGGGCGTCATCGTAGAGCTGCGAGGTGATCGAGAGAACTGGAGAAAGAGAATTGGACGACGTGACTGATGAGAATGTTTAGGGTTGGGAGGGACTTACCTTTTTGTCCTCGATGAGAGTTGAGGTAGGCTAGACATTCGTGTAGCTGATTTGGAGTCGCGGGGTAAAGGACGGTGCAATGCGGTTGATTTGACTGTCCCCTTGCCAAATTTGTGTGTTGGTGGGGTCGACGAATTCTTGATGTGCGAACAATTTGACGTCACATTTGCAAAATTCGTGCGCACAATGTGTGTCGCAACGCATTTTCCAATTTCGTGCGCGAACTTTTTTTTTTTGGCCGGGCAGCCCGGATTTTTCCGAATGAATGTACGTACGTATTGCGTACAGCGTATATTCGTCTACGTATATACGCTGTACGCATGCCCAGGCTGGCGACTTTTCCAGCATAGGTCTGTTTTAGCGTGGCCTGGTGTGATAGAGAGGTGCTACTTGGTTGCAATGAGTAAGGTGAGGGGGCTAAACGAATGAAAAGAGGAATACTTCGGTTGATGAGGCATGTGTTGGTAAGCACAATAGTTTTGTTGGAATGTGCCTAAAATGAATGTCAAAATCAAAATGCAAAAGATACTGATTTCAGCCGGGCTTCATAACTCAATTAGGGCGCGTGGCACAGCAAAATTCGACTGTCGAAGTTCGACTTTTTACAGCAAAGCCCGAGCGTGGAAATTCGAATGCGAGGTCGACCCAGTTGAGTGTCCTACCGTTTTCTCGATCTTTGAACATGGACACACGAACGTCGCATAACAACCCTAAACGATATTTGCGAAATTGGTTACCATCAAAAGGTCGACCTTTTTTTCAAACTCCGACCACAAAGGACACGCGCCCTTACAAATAAGTGACAACACCAAACCATATGCTATATTATATAACGTCGTTCTTTTTAGGTAATTTGAGTTGAATCACATCATTCTAGCAAGTAGTTAGTGATCGTTTTGTTGGTTTAAAAAAGCGGCAGTATGACAGCAACTATAGTCCTAAAATTGAAGCTTGAATATATGATGGTTTCCAGCCTAAGATACAGAAGTAGAGGAGGTGGGAATGTGCCCCACAATCGCCGAGCGTGAAATGGCTCAGAAGTACCCACCAAAGTGACATCCTTCAATATAGATGATGCGTCACAGAATGATCCGATATTTTTTTTATTTACGACATGGCGAATTTTTAGCATACTGGAACCTTGAAAAGGTGGTACAAGGTCTTCCTTGAGCCTTTGCTGCACAACACTTTCAATGAACGTTCAACAAATGACAAGATCGAACCACGCACGACTCACATACAATGACTTGGCACACGATCTACAATGACTTGGCACACGATCTACAATGACTTGGCACACGATCTACAATGACTTGGCACACGATCTACAATGCCGTGCTAATGAAATGATGCATGCATAAGGCCATCGTCCAAGCAAACATACGAAGATGGCACACACACAACACAGCACACCTGTGAAAAATACCAGGCAATGTTTTTTTGCTCAATTTATGTTGACCGTTTTTTCTTTCTTTCTTTCTTTCTTTTCCCGTACAACTTCAGCAAAAATTGTTGGTGATGGAAATCAAAGTTTTCTTTGTCTATGCGACATGTCTTACAAATGTTTCCCAAAAATTGTCGATGGGGAACGTTTGGGATATGTGTGTGTATCACATGACGTATTTTCCATTACAATACGTACATGTCAAATATATGTAAAGAGTAATTCTATGGTTCCCTACTTCGCACAGAAGTTTCTACTCAAGGTTTCCGTACAATAGTATCGACATCATTGCTGCCACCAAGCCACCATGCCATCATGCCACCATGCCATCATGCCACCATGTCACCATGCCTCTGTGTCACCATGCCACCATGCCACGTGGCCCCTCTCTCTCCCCCTCACGTACTCTCCTGGTCTGGCTGTCCCCACGCCTGGCAGGTGAAGGCGGTTTCCAAGTTGAGCCACAAGAACCTCGTGCGCCTCCTCGGCTACTGCAACGAGAGCAACGAGCAGGTGCCGCTCTCTTCCAAAAAATGCCGCCCTTGTCTCCTAAGAATATTCCCCTTAGTCGTGACAGACAGCTGCATCCTCATCCTTGACCACATGGTGCAGCCTTTTGCTTTTTGATTAAGAAATCTCTAAAGCTCCTTATCACACCTTCTTGTAGCAGCTTCACAAGTTGATACTTCATCATATGAAGACTTGTATTGAGGGGCGGCAGCGGGTCTGATACTGCATGTCCCCGCAGCTGCTTGTGCGCAACCGCACATCTGTGCTTGTCCCTAAACCACCCCACCACCCTCCCTCCCCCCCCTATGTGCGTGAAGGCCCTCTGAACGACCACCCGTACGAGAAGGTTGGTGGGCACCTGCTGGCCTTTGAGTTGTCCCATTGCAACCCCCTTCCACCGGGTGTTGGTGTACGAGTTTGTGTGCAACGGCTCTCTGAGCCACCATCTATACGTTTCTGCTCACCTTCGAGGAGCGGCTTCTTGAGTTGACTCAAAAAGTCATCCCCCACCCCCTCCCTCTTGACAGGTGTTGGTGTACGAGTATGTGCCCAACGGAGACATCAGCGACCATCTGTACGCCAAGTTCCAAGGGCACCTGCTGACCTTCGAGGAGCGGCTGGACGCTGCTTTGGGGCTGGCGGAGGGGCTCAAGTACCTCCATTATCATGCAGAGAAGCCTATTGTGCACCGCGACATCAAGCCCTGCAACGTTCTGCTCACAGAGGAGTACCAGGTGGGTGGAATGCGGTAGCAGGGTATCACACGATGCCAGTCAGAGGGGCTCAAGTACCTGCACTGTCATGCAGAGAAGCCCATTGTGCATCGTGACATCAAGCCCTGCAACGTGCTGCTCACAGAGGAGTACCAGGTAAGGGGAAGCCAATCACTGAGTGCCACATGGCAGAATGGCATGCCAGGATGCAGGGAAGCCCATTGAGACCTCCGGACATTCTGAGCCTCTCACCATCGCACCGCATGGCGCCACCATGGTGTTTGTTAGACAAAGCATGGCACCACCACGGTGTCTGTTAAGCAGCTGCTGCCATTGGACATCCTCAAGACAAGGCATGGACATAATCACTGTCTCTTTCTCCTGCCCTCCCCTCCCATTCCCCAACCACCCTCCGTGCCGCGTCCCGTCTAGATGAAGATCGCCGACTTGTGCCTAATATGGGAGGCCTCCAGACCATGCATATGCAACCACTTCCCACCCCCCCTTCAACTTGTGACCGCCTTCCCCACCACCTCCCTTGCTGCCATGCAGGTGAAGATCGCCGACTTTGGTTTGATACGGTCGCTGCAGGAGGGCGCGGAGCAGGAGGGCACGTTCACGCGTGTGGCGGGCACGAGGGGGTATCTGGACCCCGAGTACATGACGTGTGAAAAGCTCTCCACAGCGAGCGATGTGTACAGGTGGGTGTGAGTATGAGTCTATGTTTGCGATTATGTGGGCACAAGGGGGTATTTGGACCCCGAGTACATGACGTGTGAGAAGCTCTCCACGGCGAGTGACGTGTACAGGTGGGTGTGATCATACAGGTGGGTGTGATCATACAGGTGGGTGTGATCATACAGGAGGGTGTGATCATACCGGTGGGTGTGTGGGAGGGTGGGTGGGTGGTGGTGTGTGGGGGTGTGTCTGTGTGTGGGGGTGTGTCTGTGTGTGTGTGGGGGTGTGTCTGTGTGTGGGGGTGTGTCTGTGTGTGCGTGTGGGTGTGTGTGTGCGTGTGGGTGTGTCTGTGTGTGGGGGTGTGTCTGTGTGTGGTTGGGGGTGTGTCTGTGTGTGGGGGTGTGTCTGTGTGTGCGTGTGGGTGTGTGTGTGCGTGTGGGTGTGTCTGTGTGTGGGGGTGTGTCTGTGTGTGTGTGGGGGTGTGTCTGTGTGTGGGGGTGTGTCTGTGTGTGCGTGTGGGTGTGTGTGTGCGTGTGGGTGTGTCTGTGTGTGTGTGGGGGTGTGTCTGTGTGTGTGTGGGGGTGTGTCTGTGTGTGTGTGGGGGTGTGTCTGTGTGTGTGTGGGGGTGTGTCTGTGTGTGGGGGGGTGTGTGTCTGTGTGTGGGGGTGTGTCTGTGTGTGCGAGTGGGTGTGTGTGCGAGTGGGTGTGTCTGTGTGTGCGAGTGGGTGTGTGTGCGAGTGGGTGTGTGTGCGAGTGGGTGTGTGTGCTCCACATCCCTCCATGTCCCTCCATCCCATGTCTCCTCCACATCCCTCCAAATGTCTCCACATCTCTCCATATCTATCCACATCTCTTTACATCTCTCCACATCTCTCCACATCTCTCCAAATCTCTCCGCATCTCTACCCACCAGCTACGGTGTGCTGCTACTTGAGATGGTGACGGGGCGGCCAGCCACGGAGAGTGACCCAAACGACCAGAGCTGCCTCAGGCACATCACCTCCTGGGTGAGCTGGCATGTCCACGTCAGCACTTGGGTGAGCTGTCATGTCCACGTCAGCACATGGATGAGCTGTCGAACAATGTATGGCTGTGAGATCATTGCAGAGAGCAGCACCACCACCTGTCCGTGCCCGTGCGCCGCCCAGCCTGACACAAGCCAGCCAGTGCATACCGGAAATGTCAAGGCACATGCTGCCAAACCATGCCACCCTGCACCACATGCGTCCATCAGAGCATGCCCTACCACGAAGGTTCTTTCTCTTCTCATGCCAAGTCTCTCTACCTCCATGCCTTGTAATCGCCCCTCCCTTCCCCCCCACCCGCCCCCACCACCCTCCAACACCCCTTTCCTCCCGCCAGGAGCTGTGACACACATCGTTCAGCGTGACGTTTGACATCCCCCAAAACGCCCACCTTTCGCTCCCTCTCCACCCAGCAGAATGAGAGCCTGTTGTGTCATCCCCTCCCTCTTCTCCCACCGCCCCTTCCTCCCCCCCCCCCCCCCCCCCACACCAGGCGGTGCCGTACATAGAGCGCGGGGAGATCCGAGAGATAGCGGACGCGCGCATTGCCTCGCCGCTCAACCTGCCCTTTCTGCTGCAGATGGCGCGCACCGCCGCCCTCTGCGTGCAGCTGCCGTCCACCCGCCGCCCGGACATGGCTGAGGTGGCGCGCGTCATGCTGGACGCCCGCCGCACCTTCCATGCCGCCGCCGCCGCCGCTGCTGCCGGCGCCGCTGCCCTCGCTGCCACTGGTGGTGCTGGCGGGCCGGGGGTGCATGGAGGAGGAGCAGGAGCAGCTGCGGCAACGCACGTTTCAAGAGGAATCCTGGGTGGGGGAGGGGCGCTGGGTGGGGGAGGGGCGCTGGGTGGGGGAGGGGCGCTGGGTGGGAAGGGGAGCCCCCGAGGAGCAGAGGCGAGGAGGAGTGGGCTTGTGGGTGCCAGCGGCAGGGCGTTGGGGAGTGAGAGCATGAAGAGATGGGTGCATTACTTCGGCGGCGGGGGTGGAGGGCGGAGCAGGCAAGAGAGTAATCGAATTGAAGAGATTGTCCCAGAGACTGGCTCAGTGAAGCCCGACAGTGGATATACGGTTACCACTGGTAACACAACAACCAGCGACTCTGCTAGTGGAGATAGAGACGTACCGTGAGGGGAGAGGAGAGCCGCAAGTGTGTGTCTGGCGCATTAAGTACACTGTTCCTCCAGATTCAAGCAGCAAGTGTGAATTCCATTACCAGTGCGTACCGGCAGGTAGCAGACCTATGTCAACGCGCGCGCACACACACACACACACACACACACACACACACACACACACACACACACACAAATACACACACACACACATACACACACACACACACACACACACACACACACATACACACACACACACACACACACACACACACACACACACACACACACACACACACACACACACACATTCATATATGTATATATATACGGTACATATATATGTATATGTTGGGGTTTACTATAGAAAATTAAGGATGCAAGTTCTACCCCCTTCGTATGCCTTTACTGTTTTACCCCGGATCGAAGCACACCTACGCTTATAATAAAGCAGAGTTTTTTAGGGCGGTGCACTTCCGATTGAGTCATTTTAATAACCGCATGCGCTTATATAATGACATACAGAAATATAAATTTATAGCATAAAATTGTACATCCCTGTCGTACCATTCCAATCGAGGCGAAATTTTACAGCTCTAGGAATCAGAGTCGCGCGCTACCGATTTTTTACCAACACACAGGGGCTCTAGGAATCAGACACGTCAGTTTGCCCCTATGCCAGCACATCTTGGCCTGACGCGCAGCTTCTGAGGTCTTCGCGAGTCAAACGAAGAAATTAGGCTCGCTTAAATTCTGAAACAGCAGATTTTATATAGAAAATTATGGATGCGCTTATAGTAAAACAGGGTTTTACAGGGGGTGCGCTTATAACTGAGGATCGGCCATTAGCGCATTGCTCCTGATATAAGCGCATGCGCTTTTAATAGGCCTGCGCTTATATCCGGGGTGACACGGTATGACTTGTCAAAACATATTGTTATGTTCTGACTCTAGGTTGTGTAGGGTCACACCTTAGAGGGTACAACCCAACTCTCTCGACATCCTTGTACCCCCTCCCTCTTATCTAATCCACACTCATTCCTCATCTAGCTAGTGATTCTAACATGGTATTAAGAGCACAATGCTCCTTAGGACCGAATTTTTAAAAGGGCCCACCACTACTATTTCGATCTACTGCCCGAGTCGCGCCCCTAGTGTTGGGCTGAGACGCCCTAGGATCTTTGTAGAGTTAAAGTCTGAGTAGATGTTGTAATAGCGGAAGCGATGAATGAAGTCTTTGAACCACCTTGCGCTGGTATGTGAGGGCAAAGTAAGTTGATTAAAGCAAAGAGATACAAGAATATAAATAGATGAGTACAGAGAATATGAAGAAACATTAAAACTAATTTTACTGTTGCGGTTCGATACAGTGCGACTCGGGCAACTGCTCAATGTCGAGTCAGTTGTTTGTCCTTGCTGTCGCGCTGTGTCAGGTCAAAGGTCGCTGACCTTTGACTTTCCCGTAACCTCCGACGGTTACGTTAACCACCTTGGTTGACTCGCGATGCTTCGTTTTGTGTCTTGAATTCTGAAACGACAGAGGCGCTTAACTTATTTGTTCCCAACACTCCCCTTCGCTTCTGGAGTGTCGCTGATGGTGACGTGGCTTTGTCCAGTCAGCAGCATGCAGTACTCGAACTTCTGCTTTCCAAGTTTCTTGGTCAAGTAGTCAGCTGCCATCTCGGACGCGGGACAGTAGGATAGATTGAGTTTCCCTTTCTCGATTTCGTCTTTCACGAAGAAGTATCGCAGGGCGATATGCTTCGTTCTGTTCGCGAATCCGCTCTTGTTGGCGATGCGAATTGCGGATTGGTTGTCGCAGAACAAGGTGAAGTTGGGTAACTCGGCTAACTTCGCTTCTTCCAGCAGCTCACGAAGGTAGAGTCCTTCCTTGGTGGCTGAGCAGAGGGCGATATATTCTGCTTCAGCTGAAGAGAGCGCAATTAGTTCCTGCTTGCTCGATTGCCAGGAAATAGGTCCGATAGGTTCGAGGCGATAGATGTAGCCAGTGCGGGAGCGCCTGTTGTCTGAGTGGCCGGCGTGATCGGCATCGACGTAGGCGATTAGTTTCGTCGGCGTAGTTGTGTCCTTGTAGTACGTCAGACCGATCGTTGGGGTGCTCACAAAATAGTGAAGAGCACGGTCGAGTTCTGCTAGGTGATCTGCTTCAGGCCTCTTGAGGTAGGTAGCGAGTTGGCTAGCGGAGTAGGACAGGTCTGGGCGGCAGGTGACGGCTGCGAAGAGCAGACAGCCCAGTTTTCGCTGGTAGTCGCGTATTCCGGCGGTCTTAAGTAGGACGGAGCTTCCTTTGCCGTTTCCTGCCGTGTAGCGGTATGGCGTGTGGATAGTAGCAGGTGTGAGTGCGAAGCGTTTGGCGATGGTGTCGGCGTACTTTTCGGCGCTGAGATAGATCGCATTTTCTTCTTCGCAGATGTTGAGCCCGAGATACTGAGTGACGGTAGTGGAGACTGTGAGTGTGAGGTCCCTTTTCAGCTCCCCTTCGAACCAGGTAGCGATGTCGTCGGTAGAGCCGATGTGGAGTAGATCGTCGACATAGACGATAAGCAGGATGTAGTTGGCGCCTTTGGTGAGTCGATACATGCCCTGGTCGTGAGGTAGTTGACGGATTCCGATGCGGATGAGGCGGTTGTGTAGGTGCTGTTGCCACAGCCGTGGGGCCTGTTTGATTCCGTAGAGCGATTTCAGTAGCTGACAGACCTGATTGGGTTCCCCGTGAGTACCGTGAGGGAGTTCGACGAAGATTTCGGCGTCGACGGGTGCGTAGAGGAAGGCATTAGCGACGTCGATTTGTCGCAGTTTCTTTTTCTTCATGGCGGCGATCGCGAGAAGGATTCGGAGAGAGGTATGTCGACTAACCGGGGTGAATGTCTCTGTGAAGTCCCGGCATTGTTCCTGATCAAATCCTCGCACGACCCATCGTGCCTTGAACTTCTCAATTGTACCGTCAGCTTTCGTTTTGATGCGGAAGACCCACTTCCCGGTAAGGATGGTCTTGTTTCTTGCTACGCTTGCTGAAACGACCTTACAGGTGTTGCGTTCCTCCAATGCCTTTAATTCTCTGTCCATGGCTTCACGCCATTTTTCCCTGTGTTCCCCCCTTGGAGCCTGTTGAACCGTCGCAGGCTCTTTAGGAAGAGAGGAGCCATGGACTGCGGTGACGAGGCCGAGAATCTGCAGTCCGGTCTGTGAGTAGCGGGGGAGTGTTGTGTCCTCGGGATAAGCTGCTTCGTCTCCCGGTTCTGGGTCGGGTATGAAATTCGGTCCTACTCTTTCTGCTTCGTTGGTGTTGGCTGATGCAGGTGTTACGTAACCATTGTCGACGAAGTGATAGAAGACTTCGGCTTAGGCACTTTCGTGAGGATTGTCTTCGTCCATGGGGACGTTGACGGAGCAGAACGGGAGAGGTCCGGCTTCTTCGGATGCGTTGTCAACGTTCTGCTCGTCCCAGTCTGCTTCGTCTGCTGCTGAGGCGAATGCTCGGTCACCACGAAAGCCACCTGTGGGGTCCTGATTCTCGTGCAAGTTGGCGAGGTACGTCTGAAGGGTGAGTCGTTCGTAGAAGATCACATCACGTGCTGCTACTGTTTCCTTGGAGTGGATGTCGAAGATTTTCCACGCGTTGTAATTCTTTTCGATGCCGAGGTGTAGTCCCCACTGTGCGCGTTGGGAAAATCTTCCCGCTCGTGCCTCAGGTGGTCGGTACTGTACCATGCACCCAAAAACTCGTAACATTTTTGTGCTGCCCTGCTTCTCTGTCCACAGCAGATGCGGTGATGCATTGTTCGGGAGTGAGGACGACGACATCAAGTTGTGCAGCATGACAGCGTGGTCCATTGCTGCAGTCCACTGGTGGTTGGGTAGCCGCATGCCACGTAACAGTTTGCGCATGCTATTCTGCAGAGTCCTGTTCGTTCGTTCTGCGACACCTTGCTGCTGATGGGCGTAGGGAAGGGAGAGGAGTTGCTTGATTCCTCTTTCCGCCAGGTACTGCTTGAATCGCTGAGAGGTGTATTCTCCTCCTCCGCCTGACTGGAAGCTTTTCAGCTGTGCTCCTGACTCTCATTCTGCTACTGGTAGCCAGGCGGCGAACGCTGCGAGTGCCATGTCGCGGCTTGGTAGGTTTAGATGCCAGGCATATCGAGTGGCGGCGTCGATGAAGGTAATCGTGTAGTTATAGGTGACTTGCTCTGGTTCGCGATTGTAGAGGATGTCGCTGTACACCTTCTCGAGTGGTGCGTACGCGGGTGCGCTCGGGTTGTGATGAGGAGTAAACGGTCGATGTGGTAAGTCAGCTTCGGGGTAGGTGAGGCAAGTTTCTCGTGCCTTTTGAAGTTCTCTGCCGTCGGGTAGTAGTAGCGAGTCTTTGTCGAGAACTCCTGCTCTTATCGTGTTGTTTAAGACTGTGTTGCATGGATGTCCCAATCGTGCGTGCCAGGTTTCTTCGGAGGCGCGATGTCCGGGTGAGCGTCGATACGTGTCGGAGTTGGAGTAAAAGCTGGCGACGAAGTTGGCGCTTCTGTGGAATTCTCGTGGAGTTGGTTTCAACTGTTGTGCGGGTTTTGGTGGTTCTTCGTCGACGAGGACTTGTGTCGTTGTTCCTGCTGCTGCTCCCGATGTTCTCTCTGCTGCTGTCGATGATGTCTCTGCTGCTGTCGTTGTTGTCTCTGCTGCTGCCGATGTTGTCTCTGCTGCTGTCGATGTTGTTTCTGCTGCTGTCGAATGTTGTATTGTTGCTAACACACGTGTTCTTTCTGCTTCAGGGATAGTGTGCGAGTACCAGAAGCCTTCCGGGCTGAAGTCTGGATCAAGATCTGGAGGGTGCGTCCAGTCCGTGAAGTTCACGATGGCGTCGCTGTCTGCGGTGCCCAGGTCCGGGACGAAATCCAGGACGAAGACATTGTTCTTCAGAACTGCCTTCCCGATGTAAAGGCCGCCTTTCCCGTGGTATAATTTGAATTCCTGGGTGGTGCTGTCGGCTTCCAGGTGGATGCC